TTCCTGTAACAAAAACCACAGAAAAAAAAAAAAAAAAAAAAAAAAACATCCCGGAGGCAGGGCTGAACTGGGGATTTCTGCTGGCTGTCATCCTTCCCATCTCCTGTGCACTGCCCCCCACATGGACTGGGAGGGCCGGGAGTGGCAGGGGCAGAGGCACCACCTGATGCGCTTCTGCAGTCTCTGGCTCTGCCTCTGCAACAGGTCCACTTGCGACTCCAGCTCCAGCTTGCGGGCCTGGAGCTCGCTGAGAGTCCTCCGGAGCTGCCGGTTGGACTCCAGCAGGTGGGTGTGCTCCTTCTTTGCCTCCTCCAGGTGCTGCTGGGTGGCTGTGGCTTCCTGGGGCGGAGAGGATGGTGGAAACACCCGAGACACCGTGGGAGGCAGGCAGGGAGCGGGCAGCACTAAGGAGAGGGCGTGGAACTGGGGCGGGGTCACTGGCTCTGCCATCAGATCTCTGCATGGTCCTGCCCCCTGGCTTCCCAGGCTGGGGGACACAGGGTGGCGTCATTTGTGAACCAGTGACCAACACAGTTTGGGACCCCAGGGCCAAACTGGTGAATGGAAGGTGGGGTGTGTATGGGAGGAGAGAAAGAGAACGGAGGAAAGACAAAGGAGGAGGACGAGGGAGGCTACGCACCTCGCTCTCCAGAGCAACCTGCCTCTTCACCTCCAGCAGCTGCTGCTTCTCCCTGTGAGCAGCCTCCTCCTGTGTGGGCGGAAGAGGGGCCCGGCTGACTCCAGGCCCCCATCTGAGGGCCAGTGGCCGCCCTCACCTGCAGCGGCCAGGACCTAGGTCAGAGGCACTACGGACCCTGCTCTCCAGCCCCGCCCCTCACCTGGACATCCAGCTGAGCCAATCTGGCCTTGATCTCTCTAGTTCTGGCTTCCAGCTCCACTTCTGAGTCTTGGAGTTTCCTCTCCTGCCGGAAGTCCAAGTGGAGAAGAGAAAAGAGCAAGTGTAGGAGAAGCGTGCGGCCTCAGCTGAGGGCCGGGTCTCCAGAAGGCAGCACCCACACCACAACCTCCCAGCCAGGCTCAGGCTTCCTCCCTATGTGCCCTGCGGGCTCCCAGGAAGGCCCCACACCTCGCTAATGTCAGTGGGGCAAGGAGAAGCAAAGGCGCCAACCCCAGGGCCAACCTCCCCTCCTAGCCCTGGCCCCACCCCTGCAGCTGCCGGGCCGCTGCTGCAGTGGCCGCGGTGCCTGTCCCAGCACTGTCCTGGCCTGAAAGAGCCATCAGGGTGGGTTCCTGGCTCACCCACCCCTGGCCCCTCACCTGCTCCCGGTGCCGGCGCCGCGATTCCTCGAGCTGCCTCTCCTGCTCCTGCTTCGCGGTCTCCAGCTCCCGCTCATGGGCCCTCCGCAGGCGGTCCAGCTCTCCGGTCAGGTGCCCCAGGAGGTCAGCCCGCTGCTTCCTCTCCTGCAAGGATGGCAGCCCTGCTGGTGGGAAACCCCAGCGGCCCCTTATACCCCCAAATCACAGCTTCCCCTATCCCTGCAGCCTTGGGTCCAGAAAGATAAGGGACATGGGAGGCTCCCTACAGCCAGCCCTTGAAGTGGAGGAGAGGGAAGGACAGCACAGCCCCAGCCTGCAGGGGGCCCACACTGCTCTACAGCTGAAGCAGCTGTAAGCCAAATGCCCTCCAGGAACCCCCTTTGGGAACTGGGCCCTCCTACTGACCATCGCGTGCAACTGCTCCTCCCTAAGGGAAGAGAGGTCATTGATAAAATGCCACTTTTGGGGGGCCAGCAGATGGCATAGCGACTGGGCTCCCATATGGCCAACTGAAGTTCAAGTCCCAGACCCGATGGCTTAGAGCTCATGCTTGGGTGCATGTGCATTCATGCCCCCAAGCTCTCAGGAGGAGAACGGATTGCAGTGTGACCATCCCTCCAGGGCGTGATTTCTTACTTTCCCTCTCATCTGTGTGTATGTGTGTCTCTTTCCCCCCAGCGAGGGCATGTGTTCTGAGGCAAAAACCTCCTAAAAATAAATACAACCTTTAAAAAAAAAGTTTTGCTATAGGGTATGTGTGCTTATCAGAGATACAGAGGAAAAGTGAGAAAGCACCCCCCACAGGGAATGGCCATGCCACAATCCCTCCTCCTCCATTCTCCTCTCAGGATTTTGGGCACTCACGCACATGCACTAGGCCTAACTTCCAACCACCAGGTCTGGGACTCGGGTTGGGCACTCAGCCACGTGGGACCAGCTGCCTTCCCACCATGCTGCCTGGCTGGTTCCATGTCCACTATTCTTTAGCAAGGCTTGAATCGATTTGGGGAAGGACTGGGCTAAAGGTCGTCCTGGGACCATTATTTCTGCCCCAGGGAAGACTAGGCAGAGTCTGGGAGAGTCCCAGTTACCAGACAGCAGCCTAAAAATGCCTCACAGAGGCCAGCTGTGGGCTACAGTCAGCCTCCTCCTACCTTCACCCGAGCACGAGCAAGCCGTGCCATGGGGTCTACTCAAGCAGCTGAACGTCCCACCTACAGCCAAAGGCCGGACGTGGGCAGTAGTACACAATGGCACTGTCTACTTCTGGGTACCCTAAAGTTTCTTTCAAAAAAAAAAAGAGAGAGCAAGATTTTTGCTATAGCGCATTGGACTCAGCAGAAAGACAGAGAGAAACAGAGAGAAAGTGAGAAACCCCCCCCCCCCACACACACACACCCCCCGGGGCGGGCACACCCCACACCCCTC